GCCTCCACCATCTCATGACCATAAAGTACCTGGATAGACATCAAAACATTGAATACCTCCATAATCTCATCATTACCATAGAATGCCTGAACAGACATCAAAACATTGAATGCCTCTATTATCTCATCATGACCATAGAGTACCTGAATAGGCATCAAAACAATGAATGCCTCCACCATCTCATCATGAAAATAAAGTGCCTGAACAGACATCAAAACATTGAATGCCTCCACCATCTCATCATGAAAATAGAGTGCCTGAACAGACATCAAAACATTGAATGCCTCCACCATCTCATGACCATAAAGTACCTGGATAGACATCAAAACATTGAATACCTCCATAATCTCATCATTACCATAGAATGCCTGAACAGACATCAAAACATTGAATGCCTCTATTATCTCATCATGACCATAGAGTACCTGAATAGGCATCAAAACAATGAATGCCTCCACCAATTCATAAAGACCCAAATATGACTAAACAACACAAGTGATGTCCAAGGCCAGGACACAACCTGTTTCCTCTTGTTGAACGATAATAAAGAATTCATTATGTTCAATAAATTTCTTGAAATCTTTCTTAGAAATTTTTAAAATAAAAAAAAAATTACCGCTGTCTCACTTAAAATTACATAGACCTAGAATTTAGTACCCATCTCTAGCCAGGTTTAACCCTTTAAGTGCTAAACTCGAGTAATGCTATACATGAGTATACTCAAGCTCGCATTTCTCTCGCGATGTGCTAATGCAGGATATATTCGAGATGTGTTATTTGATAGTGGCTGACCTTGGGTGAATTACGTCACAGTTTATTCACCTCTACCGCGCTTGGATCTTGTGTAATCTTTGTTTGACTTAGTACTTGTTTGCATGCCTTCTTTCCATCTTTGATTTTATCACATATAAATAATAATTATTATTTTTATTATTCCTGTGGCTCGATTTTTACAGCTCATAAAGGTAATATAAAATTTGTTTATACGTTCTTGCATAAATATATCTTTTTTTTTTTTTAGAATGGCTTCTGTAAAAGATGATTTCTTGCATTATGCAACAAATCCTGAATCAGAATTAGAGGATACTGATTCTGATTGCACTATTGTGTACGACTATGAAGAGTACCACCATTGTAAACACCTCGGTCAGACTATATTTGGTCTGATAACTCAAATTATGATCCGATCATTTTTTCATTTGACCGATCAAATAGTGGACTACAGGTAGATACATGTAGGCTTGAAAAAGAACTTGATTTTTTTGAAATTTTTATCAATATAAATTTCCTTGGAATGATTGCTGTAGAGACAAATAAATATGCAAAATACCTTATAGACACAATAGAATTTTCGAAGTTTTCTAGAATGAATAGATGGGTGGACACTAATTATCATGAACTATTTGTTTTCCTAGCAATATGCTTCCTTATGACAAGAAATAAAAAAGTATCATTGAAAGAATACTGGAGTACCAATCAACTTCACTTTTCCCCAATTTTTTCTAAACTTATGTCAAGAGATAGATTCTTTTTGATTCTTTCAGTGTTGCATTTCAACGATAATAAGACCCAAATTCCAGGTGATAAACTCCACAAACTAAAGCCGGTAGTTGACCACATGAAAAGTGCTTATAAAAATGCTTTCAAACCTTTTCAAGATGTTTGTATTGATGAGAGTCTTGTTCTGTTCAAAGGAAGACTTGGATTCAAACAATATATTCCAAGGAAAAGGTTTGGAATAAAGTTATTTGTTTTATGTGATGTGGAAACAAAATATATTTTAGATTTTATTGTGTATGTTGGAAAAGGAACAGAAATCGAAGATTCAGATATGGGAGTATCATCGTCAGTTATTACAACTTTGTTACAACCATATATGAACTAAGGGCATTCCTTATGGGTGGATAATTGGTATTCTAGCCCAACTCTTTTCAATTTTCTTCATCAACGTCAAACTAATGCTTGTGGCACAGTCAGAAAAAAACAGGAAAAAAATACCAAGATTTGGGAAAAAAATTAAAATAGGGGAAACAGAAGCCAAACACACACAAAACCTACTTGCACTAAAATATAAAGATAAAAGAGAAGTTTTCATGCTGTCCACAATGCATAAAAATGAATTTGCTAATACAAACAAAAGAGATAAAGTCACTAATCTGCCAATTCAAAAACCTTCAGCTGTTATTGACTATAACCAGAAAATGGGCAGTGTCGATCAGACGGATATGCTACTTAGCAGCATTGGCTGTCTTAGAAAATCTCTCAAGTGGTACAAAAAGCTCTTTTTTCACTTCATTGATACATCTTTACTAAATGCATATTCTTTGTATTTAGTAAATACAGGCAAACGTCCATCTCTTGCCGAATTCCACATCAATCTCATTGGCCAGATTATTGAGAAGTACCATGAAGCTAGAGTTCAAGTTCATAGGGGCAGACCTTCTACATCTGAAGACAGACCCCTTAGGTTTATTGAGAGGCACTTTCCATCTTTAGTTCCCCCTACTGAGAAGAAAAAAAATCCTACAAGATATTGCCGTGTTTGTGGAGCAAACAAAAAGAGGAAAGAATCACGCTACATGTGCAAAGACTGTGATGTTGCTCTGTGTGTGGTGCCTTGTTTCAAAAATTTCCACACAATAAAGAATTTTTAAACACTTCTAAAACTTTTAATTCAAAGAGCACAGATCAATACAAGTATGTTTATTTTACTTTTAACATATTTTAAAAATATATTTGGTCTTTATATGAATGTATTATCTACTACTATAAATATTATATATCATATATCTATTTATGTTCTATATATAGCGATAAATATTATATATCTTATTTTTAGGCTTATATAATTTTTTTTTCTGATACTTTATATTACTTAGCATTATTTTATATAATTATTTTTGAAAAATGAGAAAATTGATTTTTTCAAAAAATATTCAGTCTGTAGAGTATTTATGCTAAATCACGTTATTAGCACTGAAAGGGTTAATAAATAGTACTAGAATATACGTCTTTTTTTTATGACATATATATATTATTATAGAAAGCATGAAGCGTAACAACAATAATGGACAATTTAAGATCAAAATTTAATGAGAGTTAAGGCCCTTTTGTCGACATATGTAACTATCTGAATAACATGGATCCCGCTCTAGGGCTTGAAATGGCATCTCTGGCAAAGATAACAGGCCACCCATACACAGACCTTGTAGGAGGTGCAGTTAAGATGCTTAACAGAACTTTAAAGCATTTGATGTTCCCCTTAAGGACATTGAGTTTTGTGTATCAGCGAGAAAGGAAAAGTATATAAAGACATTTATTGCAACTAACAAGAGGTGGCCTAATTGCACCCTTGAGCCCTACTGCCCAGAAGCTCTGGTTTATGCTCATTCTCATAATAAGTCACCATCTGACCCGAAAGTTCAAAGGTTATTTGGAAAAGTGGAGTCTGAACACTATGCATACATAACCCTTGGCCAGGAGATGGGTTTTGATCAGCACCCACACATGCTAGGGCTGATTCAGGATATAGCAATTTCAGTTCTCCAATCTGGTGTATTCAAATGTTATCTCGACAAAACAAAAAGAGCAAAGCCCGAGGATACAAGGCTCCTACTACATTACCTAATTAAGTCTGATGCAAGTTCCGACCAGGCGAGATACATGGCTCAATACTGCGCAAGTGATCCGGATATGGATGTGCTATTGGACTATATGGTGGTTAGATTGATACCTAAGGAGAAGGAGCTAAAAACTGAGCCCACATTCTTCGCAGCTAAGTCAATGGAGGACCGGAATCGAACAAATATACTCGGCAACGCTGTTGAAGGTGGACGTGCGTCGCCTCGCTCTGCAATTATTGGTAAATATTGACTTAATTTCATTTAAACTATCTCTAAATTCATATTAGTCAAAATTTATTGAAATTTATATTTAGAAATAGTAGGGTGCCACCTTTGAGGTACCTGATTAATTAATTTTTGCTTTGAAATTTGCATAAGTCAAGTTTAACCACCATCTCATCATAACCATAGAGTACCTGAACAGACATCAAAACATTGAATGCCTCCATCTCATCATGATCATAGAGTGCTGATCAGACATTAAAACATTGAATGCCTCAACCATCTCATGACCATAAAGTACCTGAATAGGCATCAAAACATTGAATGCCTCCATTATCTCATCATGACCATAGAGTACCTGAATAGGCATCAAAACATTGAATGCCTCCATCTCATCATGATCATAGAGTGCCTGATAAGACATTAAAACATTGAATGCCTCCACCATCTCATGACCATAGAGTACCTGAATAGGCATCAAAACATTGAATGCCTCCACAATCTCATCATTACCATAGAATGCCTGAACAGACATCAAAACAGAAAGCATCAAACATGAATGCCTCCACAATCTCATCATTACATAGAATGCCTGAACAGACATCAAAACATTGAATGCCTCCACCATCTCATCATGACCATAGAGTACCTGAAAGACATCAAACATCGAATGCCTCCACCATCTCATCATGACCATAGAGTACCTGAATAGGCATCAAAACATTGAATGCCTCCACCATCTCATGATGACCATAGAATGCCTGAACAGACATCAAACATTGAATGCCTCCACCATCTCATCATAAAATAGATTATTTGGCATCAATGATTCTTTATCATTTAAAAAATTAAAAATTCAATCGACTCTTGAAAATGGCATTTTTCGCCTCAAATTTGGGTGGAGGGTTTTGAAGTGGTTTGAAATTTTTTTGGAGACACCGTGGAGAGAGGATGCTGAACAGCTGCCTTATGCACCGCCACACTAGTCCTGCACCGGGTATTAGGTATGGGACGGTATTGGATATCACTCTCGCACTCCTCTAGTACACATTGCCGGTGTAGTATTCTGTGTGTTTAAAGATAAATATAAGAAAAAGGCATCTCCTTATCGTGCAACTAAAAGTTGCTGATGGCTGGCGCCATCTATCGGAATAAATATCAATAGAAAGCATGAAGCGTAACAACAATAATGGAGAATTTAAGATCGAAATTTAATGAGAGTTAAGGCCCTTTTGTCGACATATGTAACTATCTGAATAACATGGATCCCGCTCTAGGGCTTGAAATGGCATCTCTGGCAGAGATAACAGGCCACCCATACACAGACCTTGTAGGAGGTGCAGTTAAGATGCTTAACAGAACTTTAAAGCCATTTGATGTTCCCCTTAAGGACATTGCGTTTTGTGTATCAGCGAGCAAGGAAAGGTATATAAAGACATTTATTGCAACTCACAAGAGGTGGCCTAATTGCACCCTTGAGCCCTACTGCCCAAAAGCCCTGGTTTATGCTCATTCTCATAATAAGTCACCAGCTGACCCGAAAGTTCAAAGGTTATATGGAAAAGTGGAGTCTGAACACTATGCATACATAACCCTTGGCCAGGAGATGGGTTTTGATCAGCACCCACACATGCTAGGGCTGATTCAGGATATAGCAATTTCAGTTCTCCAATCTGGTGTATTCAAATGTTATCTCGACAAAACAAAAAGAGCAAAGCCCGAGGATACAAGGCTCCTACTACATTACCTAATTAAGTCTGATGCAAGTTCCGACCAGGCGAGATACATGGCTCAATACTTTAAACACAGATTCTCGACGAGTTTTCATCTGGAGGGAGCCTGGAACCCGCTATCATCCCAGTAACATCAGGGAAATAGACAGTTTTAGAGGGGGCAGTCTCTTAGTCTGGGTTGGCATCAGTTCTAGCAGTCGCACACCCCTCCACATTTTTTCTGGGGGCACTTTAACTGCCCAAAGGTACAGGGACGAGATCCTTGAGCCCTATCTAAGACCTTATAGAGATCAAATTGGTCACAATTTAATTTTAATGGACGATAATGCTCATCCGCATAGGGCTAGGCTAGTCAATGAATATCTCCAGAGTGAGAATATTCGAAGGATGGATTGGCCAGCCAGATCTCCGGACCTGAATCCAATAGAGCATGTGTGGGATGCTCTAGGGAGGCGTATTGGAGCTCGTCACCCCTCTCCCAGAACCCTCGTTGAGCTAAGAACTGCTCTATTGGAGGAGTGGGGTTTACTACCCCTGGACCTCCTCCAAAGCCTGGTAAACAGTATGAGGGCTCGCTGTGAGACCTTGATAGCTGTTAGAGGTGATCATACTCCCTATTGATATCTTGTTTCTTTAAGATCTGGAACCTTAGCTTTGGGTATGTTGGTAATAATTTGCATATTTCAAATTTTTTTTTTAATTTTCATATAGCTAGTCAAATTCTCCATAGTTTAAACTATTTGTATACTAAATTTTATATTTGTTAATAAATTAGCTTTTGAGAAATTTCAATATTGGTTAAGTTTCTTATTTTTTGGACACCAGTGTAATATTCTATGAAAGAAGAAAAAAAGAAGAACAGGCAAGAACAGATACTTTACGTGGCTCTTATATATCCTTTCTTTTAATTTTATATGTTAATAAATATTTTAATGATTATATAATTGACGTGATCCCTATCTTCCCATTTAAACACCCACAAAAACCAACAATGGTTATGGACCCAACCACGCTTCCACTGCGCCTAAAAAAGGCCTTGCGTCACAAAAGACTAACTTCTTTGGAATTCAAAGGAAAGTTGATTACCGAAAAGGTAAAGGAATATCTTCAGAAAATGGAGAGTAATGTGCAAATACCAAAATTTGATGGCAAAAATTTCGCCTCTTGGAAATTCCGAATTATTTCAATTCTGGGAGGAAAAGAATTGGACGCCATTTTGTAAGCTGATCCACCGAAAAAAGAAGAAAAGTTTAAAGAATGTAAAAAAAAAAGGACGTACAAGCCAAAGGTATTCTTACCTGTTCGATGACTGATTCCTTAGTTGCCTTGATTTTAACATGTAAAACTAGCAAGGAAATTTGGAAAGCTCTACATGCCAGATATGAGGGCGATAAAAGGAAGATAATAATTGAAGCTAGAAATTACATTTCTAGATTAATAATGAAAAAGGAAGAAAAATGGGAAGATTATCTCTACAGAGCAGAAAGACCTTTGGAACATGCCAGAAATCTAGGCGCTGATATTGAAGACAAAGAGTTTATCACTTCAGTTATAAGAGGTTTACCCCACAAATACAATCTCATTGTACTTCAACTCAGCAACCAAGAAAACTAGATGAAATGAAGGCCTTTATCAGACTTATTATAAATATGGATTTAGTAATTTTGCCAAATCTGAAAGATTATTGGGCTACTGATTTTTTAACTACTCAAGAATGTTTTCCAAAAGGTTTCACCCATCAAAGATTTTCACCAAAATTTTGGATGCTTCACCTTTCAGAACCTACTCCTGCTCATAATTGGACCCAAAATTATCTTTCCTATTCAAGCAATAAATCTCTATTTTCAAACCATCAAAAATATAGCAATAGATGAATCAACTGTAGGATACAAATATCATTCAAAACCTATAACCCTCAAAAACAAAGAAAATGGGGGTTGAGGGTATATGTTGCTGCTGAATCAAAGTTATTTATTCCTTATTAGGGCAAACTTACTATAGACTCTCTAATACTACCTGATCTATAGCTTACTTCTAGAATAGTTTTTTCTTTATTCCAAAACATCATAATCAAATATTCAGACCTAAATGGCATGCACATATACACTGACAGATTTTATACCAATGCTCCATTAGCCCAAGAATTATCTTTATTCAAAGGCCACCTAACAGGCAAAATACATCCTTAAAACATTGGATGCCTCCACCACTTCATCATGAACATAAGACTGCCTGAACAGGCATCAAAACATTGAATGCCTCCACCACTTCATCATGAACATAAGACTGCCAGAACAGGCATCAAAACATTGAATGACTCCACCATCTCATCATATGCATAGAATGCCTGAACAGGCATCAAAACATTGAATCCCTCCACCATCTCATCATGAACATAAGACTGCCAGAACAGGCATCAAAACATTGAATGCCTCCACCATCTCATCGTGTACATAAGACTGCCAGAACAGGCATCATAACATCGGATGCCTAGAGTGGTCAAGATCCTGGCTCCATTTAAATCTTGTGTAGTAACTTGTGGACCCAAAGGATGCGTAGTGCGACCTGATGGAGCCTCTTGCTTTTTTGGGGTCAGCAATGTGATAACACCACTAAGAACGAAGATATAATGAACGATGGCCAAATTTGCAAGACTCGCTTTGATTTTGAAGTATTTGCTCCCTTTAAATCTTGTGTTGTAACTTGTGGACCCAAAGGATGCGTAGTGCGACCGGATGGAGCCCGTTGCTTTTTCGGGTCCCGTTGCTGCAAAGGAGTCTGTCAACCCTTTTTCCTCCCCTGTAACAATTAATTTTTAGTGAAACGCACAAATAAATATCAATGTTTTGAATTGCACCATCTCATCATATGCATAGAATGCCTGAACAGGCATCAAAACATTGAATCCCTCCACCATCTCATCATGTACATAAGACTGCCAGAACAGGCATCAAAACATTGGATGCCTCCCCCATTTCATCATGACCATAGAGTGCCTGAACAGGCATCAAAACATTGAATGACTCCACCCTCTCATCATATGCATAGAATGCCTGAACAGGCATCAAAACATTGAATCCCTCCACCATCTCATCGTGTACATAAGACTGCCTGAACAGGCATCAAAACATTGAATCCCTCCACCATCTCATCGTGACCATAGAATGCCAGAACAGGCATCAAAACATTGAATGCCTCCACCATTTCAACATTGATGGTCGGATTGAGTCTGGAGACACCTTGGAGAGAGGATGCTGAACAGCTGCGTTATGCACCGCCACACTAGTCCTGCACCGGGTATTATGGTATGGGACGGTATTGGATATCACACTCGCACTCCTCTAGTACACATTGCCGGTGTAGTATTCTGTGTGTTTAAAGATAAATATATATTATTATGAAGCGTAAACATTGGATTTAAATAAATAAATAGTAAAAATAAAATAACTGTAACCTTTTAAATATATATATTTGAAATTAAATAATTTCATCTTGTGACTAATGTTTAATTAATAAATTAAATAATAACTATACAACATAAATTGGCGACGAGATTTGAAAATTTAACTGTAGCCCTGAAGTATGGCAGCCAACCTGACGGCACCTTTACCCATGAATTTGAATGCTAGCAATTTATTTGCGGTATATAAGAAATGGATGGAATCCTATGCCATTTTTGAAATAGCATCTGGAATTTCAAAAAATTCTGATGAAATTAAGAGAGCTACTCTATTTTATTGTTTAGGGCCAAATGTACAACGTATATTTTCAACTTGCCAGATGAAAAGGAAACTTACGAACAGACTAAAATACAACAGCCGGTACTTTAAACAGCCAACGCTACATCTCCGAGGTGTTGGAACCTGTTGTCCTTACTTACCTTCAAGACTTGTCCGGAGCCATATTTCAATAGGATAATGCACGACCACATGTCGCACGCATTGTCCTAAGGTTCTTCGTCAATCGCCAGATTGAATTGCTTCCCTGGCCGGCTCGCTCTCAGGATCTTTTGCGATAGGAAACATATGGTCCATGGTTGCTCAACGATTGACCCAGATTACATCCCCAGCTGCCACACCAGATCAACTTTGGCAACAAGTGGAAGCTGCTTGATCTGCTGTACCCCAAGAACACATCCAAAGTCTCTTTGAATTAATGCCGAGACGTGTGGCAGCGGTGATCTCCAACAATGGTGGCAACTCTGGTTACTGATTCTGGCAGGAACCACACTTCTGCGTCTGCCAGCCTTCAATGGAGAAAACTTATTTCTAAAGGATGATAATGCCCATCCACATACGGCTGGTGTGATCGACACTTTTCTCCAAAACCATGCAATTCCTCGGATGAATTGGCCAGCTCGATCCCCAGACCGAAATCACATTGAGCATGTATGGGACAACCTAGGACGGCAGATCTCATCCCTCCAACCCGCTCCTAGAAACAGCCTTAACACAAGAGTGGGCGTTGATTCCACAGGAGCTGATAAACTCCCTAATTCTTAGTATGGGTCACCGATGTAGAGCCTGTCTATCAGTTAAAGGCGATCACACCCCATATTAACAACAATATCCAAGATATTTATGCACTGACTGCAAGATCATTGCTTGACCAGCTAATTTGCATAAAATACGTGTTAGAATTCTTTGATTTTGGGTAATCTAATCAATAATATATTATTTGTGTATAAAATTTCATGGAGGATCAATGAATTTGCATCAAGTTCTGTGTGAAAAAAGGATCCGAAGTGCCAAAATTTTTTGGATGTTGCAAACAACCTACGGGGATGCTATCATGAGCCAAAGATAAAATAAAACTTTTTTTTAAATATCCTTTTATACGAGTGTCACTTTTTTTTACAAAAGTATTGAGAGAGAAATTTATATTACTAAGTTACTGTAAGTGCACACAATACAATTTTAAAAAAAACTTTACGAAATTAGCGTTACTGTATGTAAACAATGGCTTTCGTATTTTTTATTAATTTTTGTTCGGCCTTTGTTTTTTTTTATATATATAATAAATAAAAGTTACAGTCAATATGATATAATTCTTAAAATTAAACAAACAATAGTCAATATGCAAAAAATACAAACTAACTTAAAAATATTCTAATATCAAGCAATATGCAAAATCTCTCCTAATTTTTAAATGTACATATTATTAGCATCTTAACGTTGTTTATTCGTTTTTATGTACTCCTGCAGGAAGGCAGAAATACTCGAAAGTTCGATATAGTTTTAATAAAGTGTAAAGAATCTCCAGAACTATTTTTTGCGCGGCAGTAAATACGAGGCGAAGTGACAACACCAGGCGAATTAACCGACCAATGAGCGTTCTGCATATTTTCCAAATCGCTTGCCCAACTTTTTTTTTTTTTTTTTAAGTATCTTTTTATAAGAGTGTTACTTTTTTTTTACAAAAGTATTTATTATTAAGTATTGAGATAGAAATTCGTATTACTAAGTTATGGTAAGTGCACACAAAAATGCAATTTTAAAAAACTTTACAAACCTATCGTTACTATGTACACAATGGATTTTGTATTTTTATTAATTTTTGTTCTAGCCTTTATTTTTTAAAAATATTTTTACAAAAAAACTCATATGTAGTGAAAATTTAATATGAATTACTGTCTCATTTAACAGCCAAAACATGTGTTTGTCTATAATCCATATACCCTTTGGTTTTTATCAGCCTAAAATATTAACATGGCTATTTTGGCATTAGTTTTTTTTTTTAGTATTATTATTTTTTGCTGACATGTTGATTGGGCACTACATTTTACAAAGTCACACCGTTCATCCAAATTTTGAGGAATGTTTTTATCTTCGCATGCTGCTTCATAGTGTTCGTGGTCCGACTTCTTTTGCAGCCCTCAGAACAATCAATGGTGTGCTCTGTCAAACATATAAAGAGGCATGTCTGCATTTGGGATTGCTTGAGAATGACCAGCAATGGCATCATTGTATTCAGGAAGCAGTGCTAAGTGAGTCTCCTTTAAAAATCCGGGATCTTTTTGCTATTATTCTTACCTGCTGCCACCCTACCAACCCTCAAGATATCTGGGCACAATTTAAAGAACCAATGTCTGCAGATATTCTGAATCTTGCCAGACAGCAAGCCAATGACGTTCTTTTACAGCTGACATACGAAATGTCAAATCAGGCTTTAATACTTTCAGAACAAAAAGTTCTGCAAATGACTGGTTTCCATTTGACAAAGTTTGGCATGAGGTCCCCACAGCGCAATGTTACTCACCGAACCAGTCATGAACTTTTAAGAGAAACATCGTATGATCTCAGCAGGTTACTACAATTTGTGGCTTCGAATGAATCGAAACTTGCCAATGTCACTGAACAAAAGGAGGCTTACGAAAGGATCCTTTCTAAAATTGATTCCAATGCTGGCGGATTGTACTTTCTTGATGCTCCGGGAGGCACAGGAAAAACTTTTCTGATCAATCTTCTTCTTACAAAGGTACAAGTACTGGGGACATTGCATTTTCTACAGCTTCTTCTGGTATTGCGGCCACTCTGTTGTATGGTGGCAGAACTGCTCATTCGACTTTCAAATTACCCTTAGATTTGACCAGGGATGAGGTAGCAGTTTGTAATTTGAATGCTGATTCAGCAATGGGCAAAGTTCTTAGACAATGCAAATTTATTGTCTGGGATGAATGTACTATGGCACACAGGCATGCTTTAGAGGCAGTTGATATAACACTTAAAGATTGTAGGCAGGATCAGAGACCAATGGTAGGTGTAGTGTTGTTGTTGGCCGGTGACTTCAGGCAGATATTGCCCATTATCCCTAGAGGTACAATAGCAGATGAGTTGCATCCTTGCTTAAAGGCATCCCCTCTTTCAACAAATATGCGGGCTGTCAATTCAGGAGATCCTAACTCACTGTTATTTTCAAAATTTTTGCTTCAACTTGGAAGTGGCCAACTTATGATACGGATGGTAATGTTAATTTTTCAAATGAATTGGGTAACACTGTTGACTCTCTCTCTGGCCTAAAGAATAGTGTTTTTTTAACATTGGGGAAATGTTTAACCGGGGAAGGGCGAATTACTATCCTTGGCTTTGTGAGCGGGCAATTTTGGCTCCAAGGAATTGTGTAGTTGATGCCATAAATGCTCAGCTTTTAAAAGAAATACCAGGGCAAAGCATTTTATATACTTCTGTGGATTCCACCATTGATGCTGAGGATTGCGTGGAATATACTACAGTTTTTAAATTCTTTAGAACCTTCTGGGATGCCACCACATCACTTAGAACTTAGAGTTGGTGTTCCCATTATTTTATTGAGGAATTGATGCACCCCGCCTTTGCAATGGTACCCGTCTCTGTGTTAAAAGATTGTGGCCTCATGTGGTAGAGGCAACCATTTTGACTGGTTGTTTTCAAAATGAAGAGGTTTTTATTCCCCGGATTCATGTTGCAACACGAGTTTTCGAGTGGTACAAGCGCTTCAAGGAGGGTCGGGAAGAGACCGCCGAAATTACCTAACAGGCACCGGAGTGGCGCTTCAAAAATGAGCCAAGACCAAAGAAAATGAGGACGGCTCCAAGCAAAGTCAAGGTCATGTTGACTGTGTTCTTCGACTACCAGGGCATCGTTCACCATGAATTTCAATAACAAGTCTCTACAATAACTGTTGACTCCTACCTGGGAGTTTTGAGGCGATTGAGGGAAGCGATCAGGCAGAAACGGCCGGAGCTGTGGAGGAGCAAGTTGTGAATCCTCCACCACGATAACGTGCCGGCGCACACAGCTCTCAAAATCTCGAAGTTCCTGCAGGACCACTCAACCTCTGTGTTCCCCCAACCCCCCTACAGTCCCGATTTGGCCCCCGGCAAATTTTTCCTTTTTGAAAAGCTCAAAAAAAAAAGGTAAAGGGTCGGAAATTTCAGAGCATAGAAAAGATCAAAGTGTAATCGAAGAAGGCCATGAAGGCAATCCCGAAAAAAGACTACCAGAGGTGTTTTGCCGACTGCAAAAAAAGGTGGCTGAAGTGCATCGCGACCAACGAGGACTACTTTGAAGGGGTCAATTGGAATTTGGTAGAATAATAGTTTTTTTTAACTTATGAGCAAAGTATCAAAACTTTTAGTAGAATGCCTAAACAGACATCAAAACATTGAATGCCTCCACCATCTCATCATGACCATAAAGTGCCTGAACAAACATCAAAACATCGAATGCCTCCATCTCATCATGACCATAGAGTACCTGAACAGACATCAAAACATCGATCTCATCATGACCATAGAGTACCTGAACAGACATCAAAACATCGAATGCCTCCATCTCAACATGATCATAAAGTGCCTGAACAGACATTAAAACATTGAATGCCTCCACCATCTCATCATGACCATAGAATACCTGAACAGACAACAAAACATCGAATGCCTCCTCCATCTCATGACCATGGAGTACCTGAATAGGCATCAAAACATTGAATGCCTCCACCGTCTCATCATGACCATAGAATACCTGAACAGACATCAAAACATTGAATGCCTCTACCATCTCATCATAACTATAGAGTGCCTGAACAGACATCAAAACATTGAATGCCTCTACCATCTCATCATGACCATGGAGTACCTGAACAGACAACAAAACATTGAATGCCTCCACAATCTCATCATGACCATAGAGTGCCTGAACAGACATCAAAACATTGAATGCCTCTACCATCTCATCATGACTATAGAGTGCCTGAACAGACATCAAAACATTGAATGCCTCTACCATCTCATCATGACTATAGAGTGCCTGAACAGACATCAAAACATTGAATGCCTCTACCATCTCATCATGACCATGGAGTACCTGAACAGACAACAAAACATTGAATGCCTCCACAATCTCATCATGACCATAGAGTGCCTGTACAGACATCAAAACATTGAATGCCCCTACCATCTCATCATGACTATAGAGTGCCTGAACAGACATCAAAACATTGAATGCCTCTACCATCTCATCATGACTATAGAGTGCCTGAACAGACATCAAACATCGAATGCCTCCACCATCTCATCATGACCATAGAGTACCTGAACAGACATCAAAACATCGAATGCCTCCACCATCTCATCATGACCATAGAGTGCCTGAACAGACATCAAAACATCAAATGCCTACACCATCTCATCATGACCATAGAGTACCTGAACAGGCATCAAAACATTGAATGCCTCCACCATCTCATCATGACCATAGAGTACCTGAACAGGCATCAAAACATCGAATGCCTCCACCATCTCATGATGACCATAGAGTGCCTGAACAGACATCAAAACATTGAATGCCTCCACAATCTCATCATGACCAGAGTACCTGAACAAGCATCAAAACATTGAATGCCTCCACCATCTCATCATGACCAGAGAGTACCTGAACAGGCTTCAAAACATTGAATGCCTTCACCATCTCATGATGACCATAGAGTGCCTGAACAGACATCAAAACATTGAATGCCTCCACAATCTCATCATGACCATAGAGTACCTGAACAGACATCAAAACATTGAATGCCTCCACCATCTCATCATGACCATAGAGTACCTGAACAGACATCAAAACATTGAATGCCCTGAAAGCCTGATATTTTTACTCAATAAATATTGTATTTAGGTTGCCCCAAGACATTGACATCCACCTAACTAGTTATCTGGGCTACACATTAGGTGTATGTGTGAATATATATATATATATAAATGACCAAAAATGATTTGACAACTCTGTGAATTTTGTTCTTCTAACTCGTAAATTGTAAACAAGAAGTTTATATATTTTTTTTTGTTCTTTCCCGTTTTTAAATTGGATCTTAAATAAAATAATGATATAAAAAGGGTTATCTTTTTAACTCAACCCAAATTAACACAGTATGCCAACATGAAAACATGATTTAGAACTCAGACAAATCTATGCTTCCATAAAGTAAATCCTCCAAATATGCCTCGAAACATTTTCTATTATTAAAATTAAAAAAATATATATATATGTATTGAAGATTTTTCTTTTTTTTACTTCTCTTAAAGATGTGATCACACAGTGCTATATAAAACATAACCTGAAAAATAAAAAATGGAATAGAGACTTCATCCTAAAAGAAATAGCGCTGGAGACTGATCAAGATGAAGAGTCAGAATTTTTTGAAACTAATAAAGTGTTATCAAATAAAATAGCCTTTTTTTAGCTAAGTTCTTTTGGGTGCGTGTAGAGAGCCTTAAAAAAACAAAAGACAATTTTACATTTCTTAAAAGGAGGACAAAGTCTGACTGTCATGTGGTGCCCCCTTGATAGCCAACCAACGACAGCAACTCACCCATCATGGAGACAATGAGATAATAATAATAACATTTCTTAAATTAAGAAAAAAGAAATTTCCTAGTCGTGCAACTTTTGCACGATCAGGAAATTCCTTTTTTCTTTATTTATCTACCTGATCCAAGTACAAATTCCACTTTGTACTATTTTTAACATTTCTTAAATTATCAAACGTGATAATGCACATTTAAAAAAAAAAAAAGGTTTTGGGTCTTTCATGCATCTTCATGTTGATAAAAGAATAACTGCATTGAATGTTGAAAATATCAATAAACACACCTCCCTGATCCTCAGTTTTAATCAATGAGAAACTGATCGTTAGAAGTCCATTCTGCAGATCCTTTCTCAAATTTAGTCTCGAATTGAAATATATCAACTGAGCCAAATCCATCAGGAGTCCATCCCAATGGAAATGGGTCAGAATCACCCCATCCATTGTGTTTAATGCAGATTAGCAGTAGAATTCAATAAAAAATTCTTATGAAAAAAACTTTCCATTACCAATATATAATGTAAAATGTATCTGATGCTCATAAAAATGATATAATCAAATGAATTATGAATCAATTTTTTCATCAGAAGTGCATTCCAATGATAAATGATTCAGCAGCAATCCAAATTTCCATTTTTTTAGCATTCTCTCCAGGGATAACTTCAAACATTCCAAAAATTTTAAATTTAGTCAGTAAGAGTTGAAATCTGTGATAAAGCATAATAAACTATGCAAATCCATTTACCATCTACATTCAACATTGTGAAAGTGCAGTGCTCTTTTAAATATCTTTGACATGAAGATGCGTATTTGGGAGTTTATAAAGACATTTTAATATACTATAAAAAGGGGTGGGTAAGATATGAAAGTCCAATTGAAAATTGTGACATTGGGGGAGATTAAGAAAGATAGCTAAAAAAGGCTTTCAATTTGAAGAATGGTCTCTTTGTAACCTGTGCAACATCATTTCTATAGGAAATTTAGAATGGAAGATTGATCATTTTTATAAATTTACATATGGAAATGCATAAAAAAAAAATTACAGCATTTATATAAAGGAAAAAAATCACTATATAAAAAGCATATAATTTTTAAAATCCCTTTTGTTTTAATAAAGATGAAAGGAAGAATTGGTTTTAAAACTTTGTAATATATTTGGAGGATTTCCTATACAGATCTTGTAGAGATGTCCTAGAAATGGAGACATACTGTAGAATGGGTGACATTGCCAGATTGTGTAAAATTATTTACATGTTTTTTTTTTTTCTGTGTAAATTTAAGTTCTGTTGCTGTAACTGCAGCTGGCATGCCTGCAGTATATTCTTCTTGTATATTGCTAAATTATGAGTGAGCATATTATTATCACTGATAGTACTCTGTGGGGTTGCCGTTCGACTTTTGGTAATAAATATATATATGTGATACTCTGTATATAGGATTATGTAACCCCACCACAATCTATGTCTAATGTATTGTCTAAAGCAGGGGTCTCCAAACTTTCCAGCCTTAGGGCCATACTGATGGGGTCTTTCCAGCCTTAGGGCCATACTGATTACTCCAGTAAGTTCCGAGGGCCAAGATGGCAACACTGAATATTATTAATTTTCCTGTATTAATTGTTATGTTTATTTGTTATTAAATGTTATTATTAATTGTTGTTTTTGTGTGTGATTTAGCAGAATGGAAAAGAAGCGAAAAATTGATAGTGAATGCAGAAAATTCAAAGATCAGTGGAACATTCAGTATTTCGTAATTGAGTCCAGTAACAAGGCGCTATGTTTGATTTGCAATGAAAGCATAGCCGTTTTCAAAGAATATAACATGAAACGTCATTATGAAACAAAACATTCTCAAAATTACTCAAAATATACAGGAATTGTGCGGACAGAAAAATTTGAAGCTTTGAAGCGCGGATTGAAATCGCAGCAATCTTTATTTACAAAAGTCAAAACTGAACAAGAGGCGGCAACTCGTGCCAGCTTTCGTGTGGGTCTTGAAATTGCAAAACGTGGAAAACCATTCACCGATGGAGAAATGATCAAGGAATGCATAATTGCAGTAGTCGAAGAAATGTGCCCTGAAAAGGTAAATTTATTAAAAACTGTCAGTATGTCAGCAAACACTGTGGCTCGAAGGGTAGAAAACATCGCTGAAAATATATCCTCTCAACTGTTCGACAAAAATGGACATGTTGAGTGGTTTTCTTTGGCCTTGGATGAGTCAACGGATGTGTCAGATACTGCTCAGGTGTTGATTTATATTAGAGGAGTAGATAAAAGCTATGAAGTGCACGAAGAACTTCTTGATATGTATAGTATTCATGGCACAACTACTGGTACCGATATTTTTAAAGGAGTTGAAATGGCCATTAATAAAAAGAACCTTCGATGGAAAAACTTGAAATGTATTACAACTGATGGAGGCAAAAACATGAGTGGGAAAGATAAAGGAGTGGTCGCTCTTGTGTCAAAGGCTGTAGAAAATGACGGCGGCTCAAAACCATTAGTCTTACATTGTATCATTCATCAACAGTCTTTGTGCGGAAAATGTTTGGATATGTCCGACGTTCTGAAACCAGTCATATCAACTGTTAATTTCATCAGATCTTTTGGGCTGAATCACCGACAATTCAGACAATTTATTGCAGAGATTGGAGAAACAGACTTACCTTATCATACTGCCG